TTCTTCTTATAGACATGAACAACATGAACTTTGTGTTGTCAAATTACAAGAAGACAAAACTCTGGAACTTCTGTGAAGTATTTTCATCATTCCTTTATTTGACATTTGCAGTATAGCCTGCTTTGATTGTTAAAAACAGTAACGTAGGACATTTTTGTTGTGCTAATTGTAAATAATGAGAGAACCACTTAACCATTTACTTCCCAGTCAAATAAACAGTATTGAAATTGCCTTTATTTGTCAATATAAATTTTTAAAAAGCAAGTAAACTTTTTATGCAGCACACTGGTGCATAAAGGTATTCATCCCTTTATGCACCAGTGTGCTGCGTAAAAAGTAGTTTTTGAAAGCAGTTAAAGTGCTTGTAGTTTTGCAGAAAAGCCTTTTCTCCTCAGAATCTCTAACGTCGAAACATCAACCCAGACACTCTGGTCCATTTATACAGTTTTGTCTTTCCTCTTGAACAGCTGGCTCAGCCTTCGACGGGTCGAGTTTTTCTCAGATGGCTGCATCTGTTGGCTTTAAAAAATTCATTAGAAAGAGATGAAACGAGTCAATGTCAGAAAGTGGAGGTTGCGTTTCATGAAAAAACGAACAAAATGTTCAAGAGGAGCAGATGCATCGTCTGAAAATCAACACCAAAAATCTCACCAAAGCCTCCTTATCGATGATCCATGACCTGTGGACTACTGCATCAGTGTATAAATAACACAACTCACCTCCTTTTATATGAAGCATTAAACCCCTCTCTTCTCAAGGACAGGAGTTTTTTCCTCCAGCTCATTATAGGTTTTTTTGTCTCCTCCTCTGTGGATTCCTGAAGAGGAAAAGAAGATTAAGAGTACATTAATAAAATAACATATTTCTTATCACTTATAATTCATGATATACACATGTATTTTTTCTTATTTATTTCTGATGTTCTACCTGATTTTCTTGGTCTTCCTCAAGCTCCTCCAGCAGGTCATGTGTACTCATGTGCTGCCCTCTCCAGCCTGCATTCACTTTTTCTGCAGCAGGAACACAAATAAGGTTTCATGATCACAGAAAGTACACATTCTATTCAACAAATGGACAGAAATACAACCACAAGAAGTAATCAGGCTTTTTTAAAAACAACAGTAGGATGATAACTCACTTAAATGCATCATGGAAAGAGTTGTATCTGAAGCTGATCTCTGCCGAAAATGTCCGTATTTCCGCTGCTTGGGTTCGCTGCTAACATGCTCTGCGTTTACTGTATCTTCAAGGCTTTGACAAGTGGTTAAGTCCTTCTCTGCAGTTACAGAGTCAGTCTGACAGATGTCAGGAGTCTAAAAGAAAAAAAAGTGAGCTTTTTAAATCATATAGGTCTCCAGATTGCAGGATAATTTGTCATCACTAATCTGACAAACTTGTGTCAGTTTTATTACCTGTTGAAACTGTTACGAGTTCTTAACTGTGAGACATCATAGAGCCTTGAGGGGACTGTTGTTGTGATTTGGCGCTATATACATAAAATTGAATTGGACTGAACTGAATTGAATTCATACATTAAGAAATGAATGACGTTACCTGGCTCACTTTGAAGACTTTGTGTTCCACGAGGATGTCTGCCTCCATCTGTAGCGCTCGGTTTTCCATCTGCTGTCTTGCAATATCTTCTAGCTTCTGACACACCTGCTCCAGGTAGATGAACCCAGGGCTCAGTTCTTTTATCTCATTGCAACCAAAGCCCTGCAAATGTCAAAGAGCAAATCAAATGTTAACATAAAAATCCTGCTGTTTTGTTACAAATACACTTCACACATGCAAGGAAATTTTGTGCAGATATTACTTCTGGGAGTGGGAAACTCTTCCATGATTCCCCTTTTTTAAAATTTAGCACCACTATGAAACAGACCTGTTTAAAACATCTCAACACTTTATTTAAAAAAAACCCCAACAACAACTGGATTTTCTGTCCCGCAACCCCCTGCAAACTTGATTACAAGCTGTGAAGCCAACATTTGCACATGCCAGAAGTTTGAGTCAGTACCTTTTATTAAAATAGGTGTCAAAAGATGAAACAGCTGCGGCAGTCATGCTATCAACCTTTTCATTTTACATTATAATGCTTCCTCTTGGCCACGAGGCAGAGTGGCTAACTGCCAGCAGAACTGGCTCTGACAGTTCCTGTCAGAGTTAAACTGATTAGCCTGCAGTTCTGCCGATTAACGAAAATCCCACTTTTTGTGCAAAATGTATGCGATTCTCTGCAAAGTTTTTACATAGCGCCTTCTTAGGGACCTAATTTCACCATGGCTGTGGTGTTTGGAGCTTATTGAGTGTGTTAGCATGTTAAATGAAGCAATATATCATATTACTTTTTCAAGTTATTAAGTTCAGATGAGTTGAGATGAAAACCTAACAATGGAAATCACAACCTGTTTAGTTAGAATATCCACATTCATCTGACTGACACATTCATACGCATCTGATTGCATGTAATTACAAAAGTATATAGTTATGTAGATGTGACTACTTGGCATTAAGTAGCTTCCTTGTATTGCATTACCCAAAGCTATTTAAGCTTGGCTAAACGAATACAAGAACAAACTTATGACACACACCCAGTGGCTAAAAACAAAGCATTGTGAACTAAATGCATTCAAATGGGTCAGGTAATCCAGTTGTTTCTTCACCTTTGTGAACTGTCAGCGTGAACTGGTTTTCACATTTTTTGAGAATTGAATCCATTCATCTCAATCTCGTACACCCAAAATAATTTTCCAAAACAAAGACATTTTTCTGCCCTCTGATTAACGAAATATGTCTCACATTCTGAAAAAAAAAAAAGACCCACAGACTTCTCCCCACATGCCCTATATCCATTCTTCACATGCCTGCTAACTGGGCAGACTGGTTTATGAGCCCATGCGCAGACGACGGTCTTGTGTTTGTTGAAAGAGATCTCGTCTGATTAATGACATGCAAGCCTTACTTTGAATATGAAAGCAGCTTTCTGTGTTGCAACCCTCCAGGAAAAAGTGGAGGGCCTGTTAAACCTCTTGTACAGTCTATCAACCGTTCCTCTAATGTCTGGCTTGTGCCGTGCAAGATGGTACATGTAACCATGACTAAATTATGTCATCCCGAAACTGGCCCCAGAAAAGCACAAACAGAAACCAAAAACAAGATTTAAGTGATAGAGTATTACTATGGAAAAAACACAAAATCTTAAGAGATTTAAAGCTTGGTTCATGATAGAATAGCATCTCACCTCTGATGTCCGCCTGTTACTAATCATAGACTGAGTCCGTCTGCACATTTCTGACATTGGCTGAATGGAAACAGGTGGACTGACTGTCCTTCTTCCATCAAGTTTGTCTGATCTTTGACCTCTTACTAACTCCGATGTGTGCCGTTTGATCGGAAAAGACGTTTGAGGTCGCCGACTGAGCATTTCTTCTGGTGTCAGGGGCTTTGAGTTGCCCTTTGAATACATAGAATCAGTCCTTTGTAACGCTTGCTCTAATTTAAGGTGTGAGGTAGTAGAGTCTTTCTGAGTGCTGCTGGAACATAGAAGCGGGGATGAAGAAGGGCAGCTGGTGGGCTTGGGAGAGGAGAACACAGGAGACAGCGATGTTAATGCTGGAGTGAGATCTTCTCCTTCTATTTCTGTTGAGGCAAAGGACGATGTAGCACGAAAACATGTGTCACAGCTGGCCGTCTCCACTCCAGAGTCCACTGATTCTGAGCGCCCGTTTGTTTCCATCTCTGAGGAAGGCGTTGGAGGGTCTTTAGCATTGCGCTGAAACCACTCTGAGTCGGGACTTGTGTCATCAGTTACCCAAGTCTCCATGAGGTTTCCAAAGCTCTTGTACAGATTCATGCTCGTTTCGTCCCTTGCACCTGTGCTGCCAGGCTGAAAGAGGAAAATAAGTGAGGCACCAGCTCAGACAACCCACGCAGTCATTTGTAGAGATGAACTAGAATTCACAACATGCCTTCTGATTCGCCTGTGCGCCTTCACCACGCCCATCCCGGTCACAGCTTGCAGCTGCATGTTGATACCTGCTCCTTCCTCGCTAATTACTTGGAAAAGAAGGTGACTCAGATGCAATGCAGCTGAAATGTTGCATTTGTCCTCACACCTGTAACAACATCCAGAAAATGACATGAGCAAGCCTCAGCATGGCCACACATCTTCAACCTGGGAATCGTGTGTAATTAGAGGTGAAATAATAATAATAATAACATGCACTGAGCTTCTAAGAAAGTGAGGTAGAAACGAAGGAATGCTGATATTTAAGGTAACTCGTATAAGTGCTGCCATTTATGTTACCCCCACGAGATAAAAGTGGAAACATACTGACGTTCCTCAGTGGATACAAAGAGTCATGGTATGTGAGGGAAAAGCAAAAGAGCTTGACTGATAAATGCTGCTTCGTCACTTCACAAAACTCAGGTTTATCTAATCCCGTAGGCATGCGCAGCACGGACGGTCATGTCTGCTGCATTCCCCAGGTGAGCGGTGACAGCACGGGTCATCTGAGCAAATGCAAAGGCTCCTTCGCAATTCTGGAAACACCGAACAGACATAATGTTCTCACAGTGGTGTTTGTTGTCATCTTGATAAATATTTTCCTTACTCCTTGTGTGTGTAGGTGTGTAGGTGTGTAGGTGTGTAGGTGTGTGTGTGTATGTGTGTTTTCAAAAATTGGTGTTTCTCACATTGTATTCTGTATTAGTACATTTTGTAATCTAAATGCAGTACTGTGCAAAAGTATTGAGCCACCTCTCATTTCTTTTTATTTTGTGTCCATGAAGCAAGACTTTCTTATCCTTTTTTTTTTTTTTTTTAGCAATTGAGCAATCATTTTCCAGATTTTGGAAGGTCTTTCAAAGTTTTTCTTACTTATTTTTCACTCTGAGGAATAGTTGGTTTGCTTGTCTGTTTGTTTGTTTTTTGTTTGCTTTAATTTGAGGACAAAAAAAGGTAGAACAAGCTAACAACTTAGCAAAAAATAAAATTTTCACCGATTTTTCTTTACATTGTGGTGGACCACTGGAGGGCTCCACTCACACCCAGTTCTCAGGAAGTGTTGTTGCTGTGTTTTGTAGGGGAAAGTATTCAGTTGTGTGGTGATGAGTAATAAACGAGGAGTGTTAATCGAGAGTTCTTGTGTTGCCTGTGTTTACCTCCACATTGGTGACCCCTGACTCGAACATGCTGCAGCCCGATAGTGGCACCAGCTCCGGACTTTTGGCTTTACGATCCCCCGTTGTGGTTCGTGCACGTGGAGGCTCAGTTTGCCCTTCGCAGCATCTCGAACCCTTTGTGCATTGACTCTCCTCCAGGACCCACCCGCCCAAGGGAAATACGCCGCCCTTAAGGAGATGCTTCTTTGGCGCTATGCCCTCTCCGACGCAGAGCGAGCTGAAAAGCTCCTCTCCCTCTCAGGCCCGGGTGGCAGTACAGCTCTCGAACTGATGGAGCACATGCTATCCTTGCTCGGACCGAATGACGGGGGATTCCTCTTCGCCCACATCTTCCTCCGACAGCTGCCGGCGGCCATGAAAGCTGGCCTCGCCAACTCTCTACTTCTGGGTGCGAGGAAGCAGATTGTATTCTCCTGGCTACCCGGACTTTCCACGATCAAGACCTAGTTCCAGCCTCGCCAGCCGCACCTTACACTTCCCTGCCGACCTGCCCTGCGAGCATCCCACACTTTTCTTCGCGGACAGGAAAGAGGTCCACTCGGGCCATCGAGCCCCTGAATCGGACTAATTTAGTAACTTCAGGTAATGTTTTTCAGCGTTTGCTTTTGGAGGCAACAAAGCACGGGGTTGAACATTATATCCCGATGGTAGGTCCCCCGGGGTTCGCGAGCATGCGCCTTCTCAACCTTGTGATACTGTCCGTCGATCGGGAACAGTTTGCGGCCATGGAGCGCATCGGCATTGTACAGCGCTCGAATAGTGCCTGGGCCTCTCCGCTACACATGGTGCCCTAATCAGACGGTCTGTGGTGGCCGTGCGGGGATTTTCGCCGTTCAAATAATGTCACGGAGAACGACCGTTACCCCATTCCCCACATTAAGGATTTTTCCGTCCACCTCGCCGGCACCTCGATTTTTTCTAAAATGGACTTCGTGCGGGGGTATCCGCAGGTTCCCATGTGCACTGAAGATGTTCCCAAAACTGCTGTAATTACCCCTTTCAGCCTGTTTGAGCTTTTGCGCATGCCGTTCAGCCGGAAAGGCGCCGCCCAGACTTTTTAGTGGTTGATGGACTCTGTCTTGCGCAGGCTGCCGTTCGTCTTCGTGTACCTTGACGATATATTGGTGGCCAGCTGTTCTGAGAGTCAGCACGCGTCAGGTTTTTCAGCGCTTGGCGGCACACGGCCTGATCGTCAATCCAAGTGCCAGTTTTGGGTTGCTAGTTCTGGATTTCTTGGGGCACGGCATTTTTACAACTGCTTTCTCCCCAGAGCTGCGCACCTGCTGCAGCCATTCTATGCTGCCTTGAAGGCAAAACAGTTAAGGACCCGGTTGATTGGCTCCCTGAATGCATCCAGGCATTTTCTGAGGCCAAGGCCGCGCTGGCTAATGCCGTCCTGCAGTCAACGCCGCCCTGCTGGTCTACGCCGCCCTGCTGGTCAACGCCGCCCTGCTGGTCAACGCCGCCCTGCTGGTCAACGCCGCCCTGCTGGCCCACCCGTTTCCGTCAGCGGATCATCGACGCGTGAGATGTGGCGGTGGGCGCGGTGTTGGAACAGCGGGTCTCCAGTGTCTGGCTACCGCTCGCCTTTTTCAGTCGCATGCTCAGGGACAGTGAGCGCAAATATAATGTTTTTGACACGGAGTTGCTGGCCCTGCACTTCGCGACGCTGCATTTTCATTTTATTCTCGAGGGTCGTAGCTTTTCTGCATACGCCGGTCATAAACCCTTGACGTTTGCGATGTCCAAGGTTTCTGACCCGTGGAGCGCGCGCCAGCAGCGCCAGTAGGCAGCCATTTCCGAGTTTACAACAAACATTCAGCACGTGGCTGGTAAGTCCAACTGCGTGGCTGACTGTCTGTCCCGTGCGCTGGTTTCTCCCATTTATGTCGGCATAGACTTTGACGCTATGGCCGCTGACCAGCGTGCCGACCCAGACGTCCTTGCTCTGCGGTCTGTGCAAACGGACTTTGTACTGAAGGACAGACCCATGTGGAACGGCGGGCCTAGCCTGCTTTGCGTAAATCGGTGAAAGACTGGGCAGCAGCGTGCATCCTATGCCAACGCGCTAAGATCCATAGCCACACGCAGGTGCCCTTCGAATCCTTCCGCGTTCCAGGGAGGCGTTTTGATTATGTGCATGTGGATCTTGTTGGTCCTCTGCCACAGTCACAAGGTTTCACACACCTTTTGACTGCAATGGACCGCACAACCCGCTGGCCCGAGGCAGTGCCTTTGGTGTCCACTACAGCAGCAACGGTGGCCAGGGCATTTTTGTCAACGTGGGTTTTGCGTTTCGGTCCCCCCGCTGACATCACCTCAGACAGGGGCCCCCAGTTTGTTTCGGAGCTTTGGTCTGCCATGGCTGATGGCCTGGGGGGTTAAGGTCCATCAAATCCCTGCGTACCATCTGCAGGCCAACGGGATGTGCAAGTGTTTCCACCGGTCGCTTAAGGCCGTGCTCCGTGCTTCTCTTACAGATGGCAACTGGGTTGACTGCCTTCCGTGGGTTTTACTGGGGTTGCGCTGTGCAGTTAAAGAAGACCTCGGAGTTTCCCCGGCTGAACTTGTCCTCGGCCAGCCCTTCCGGGTCCCCGGGGAATTCTTGCTCGAGAGCCTGGCTCCGTGCTTCGGTCCCTCTGTGCTGTTTCTCTGTCCCCCAAGAGACTCGTTTTCTGTTCCTGGCCCAGTGCACCATTGTGTGCCCGACACTTTTGTTCCGAGGTTGTTGCAGTTTGTTTTCATCAGGCATGACGCTCATAGGCCTCCGCTGCGTCCACTGTATGAAGGCCCGTTTAGGGTTATTCAACCGGGCTGGAAGCATTTCCTTTTGGACTTTGGGGGTCAGCAGGAGGTTGTTTTGAATGATAGACTTAAACCGGCACATGTTCTTCTGGATGATCAGGTGGTGCCGGCCCAGGCCCCCCGCCATGACCACCCGCCTTCCATTGGACTGGACAACTCTGCTTCTTCCTCTGGGAGCACTCCCCACCTGGCGGGGTCCGAGCTATCTTCAGCTTTTCCTGACCGCCCATGCCAGCCTGGTCCTCAGGCTCATTTCCCCTCAGCCAGTTCTCCACCTTGTATGGCAAATTACACAAGAACTGGACTGAAAATCAGTGGCAACAGGTTTTACGAAGTGATTAATCTAAAACTTTAAATTTTCAGTTCAAAGAGGTACAGGAGTGAGTATGTATAGCTATCTGTAAAATGGTCATGGTTTGGGTTGCACAAAAATGTATCAGATTTTGATCCTCTATGTATCACATGAAAGTGTCAGATTAGCAGCAGTTTAATTTTTTGGGCCCATGATGCTGCCAATCCAGTAAAAGTGTGTGTCTTCAGGTTGTGTCATGTGAAGGCTGTGTGCAGGCAGGAATGGTGATATAGAGGACCCAAAGTGCAGACACTCGGAGGCAAAACGTGAACTCAAAACTGCTTTAATGCTGAACTCAAAAAGTAACAAAACTAAGAATCCAAAATAAACTTATACAGACAGACAGAACACACAGCAAGATGAGGGTCGATTGCGACACAGACCAAAGAAAACACAGGGATTAAATAAACAGAGGGAGCAATCAGGGAATGAGAGACAGGAGGGAAACACAGCTGGGGCAAATCAGGGCTGACGAGACAAAGGAAGCAAAACCAGACGCATTAACATGAGACACAGACTTTCAACGTAAAACAGGAACCACAGACTGAACTTACAGTCACAGACTCACAAGCAGGCACTGCAACAGCGGGAACAGAGACATGGGACCAGGTCAGACACAGACACTGACAGGACACAGAACAGAGGGAGTATGGAAACTAAAACTTAAGAACTACATAATCACACAACAAAAAGAACTGGGGAAAATAGAAATGCAAAACAGAAACCAAAACCTTCACAATAATAAACTGAGATGAGAACACAAATGAAGGTACAAAACTGAAACCACTGGCTCAACGACCCAAGTACCCTAACAGGTTGTGTTGAAGAATAAAGTTTGCCATACCACATGTTGACTTTTAGGCTTATTTTAATTGTACAAACTCTCATTTTACCTTGCATATTGTATTTCCATGTATGTGTGCATGTTTCAATAAATCACTGCAACTATTTCCCATTTTCCAAGGATAAAGTATCCTCTGGTAAGACACTGAATGTAACACTTTATAATACAGCCTGTGACTAAGCATGTAATTCTGCTGTAATAGGGTTGAATTTTGTTTTATTTGAAATTCAAAAGTAAATAATATTTACCTACAATTATTTAAAGGTAGGTAGACTAGATTAAAGTAAATTAAGTACAGTGTAAGTCATTCTAAGTAATACTTATATTTACTTTTACTTATAATTGAACCCAAAACTTAACTTATCAGAATTAACAATAAACTGTTCCAAATTCCTGCTAAATGCCTAATATAAAGTGGGGGAAACTCAATAATAGAACATCCATCATGCACATTAACATAATGATTATTAAATACAGATGTAAAAAGGCAAGATTAATGCGCTCCATAACATGAACCGCACCCTGAGAAGTACACATTAACAATGTAAGACATGAGGAAATAATGTTTGTTTTTCTGCAAAAGAACCATAAAAATTATGCAGTACTTACAGTTGCTTACACAATACTGTGTGCTTCCTTTCCTGTAAAGTTATGCAATACTTATAATATTTAGAATTACTCGTGCACTAAGTAAAATTACTTAGACATTACTTAAAATGTCCTTACAGTAAAATTATTTTTCCCATAGAACTCTGAGTTGTTTCTCCCTTATTCTAGCTTGTTTTTAAGCATTTGTAGGCAAATATAATTAAATTCTAATCTGAAATAAAATACTTTGACATTCTATTTAATTACAGGGGGATTTACAGCCTTGGTCATATTATAAAGTGTTACCGCTTAATCTATAATTTATGATCCCTTTTGAGTAAGTCTCTTGAAAAACTCCTCTAAGTAGTTTTAGTTAATCGTATTTCGTTTCTTCCCAGAATAACA